TTTTTTTTTAAAAGAAAGAAAAAGAAAGCACTTGTCTTAAAATCTTACTGCCAAAAAGATTTAATCCTTACCCTGAGCAGATTAAGTGAGTGCAACAGAGCAAGGACCCTAAAAGTCGGATATGTGGGTGTTGCTTTTCTGATTATAGTTGAACACATTTTCAAGGGAATCGCAGAACTATTTTGTCACCGTCACGTGTTAAGATATGCATAATACAATGGATTTGGAAGAATGTTGTCCCAATCAGTCATTCCTTCATCACTGAATTTAGAACCATTCCTTCACTATACATCTGAGCTCTTTTTGATTACCAAAGTCCAGTCCTCAAATGTTGACCTGCAGATTTTGTAGGTTGTCAATTGTCAGATGTTAGTGGGAACAGTAAATTAACCCTCTTCTTGTTTTAGATATAACTTATTACTTAAACCCTGCTCCACTGCTTCTGGTTAGGGAGCAAAGATGTGTGTAAGAATACTTATACTCCAATAGATGAGGGCCTTCTTCAACAGCCTTTGTTTCCAGATAGCAGTCCATTATGAACCTCTGGATATGATTTAAAGTCAAATATGCTAAACAGCCACTGCACCGGTGGCGATGTGGTTGTAAGCATCTTGTTTTGAAGTCTCATCCAGATGATGACAGCTCCTCAACAGTGTTCATGGTTTCCACACTGGGGCGTTGGTCTTGGAAGTGCTTGTTCTTATATCATCAGCCTGTTTTTCTCTAGAGGCTTCTCATCCCAGTACTGACCAGGCCCACCCTTGCTTAACTTCTCAGGCGGTAATACAGCTCTGATACTCGGCCATTCAAACCTACAGAAAACTTTTCAGCAACAAGCAACAGGGGGAATAGATGTTGGATTGCAGTCTTATTTGTTACGTAATGTTTTTAAACAGAACTGCTTTCCGATTGCCAATGAAGCCTTGTGGTTTGAGACTGCTTGCCACAGTAATAGCAGCTGAAATTGACAATGTGGCGCTGTTCGTGGCCTTGGCTGCCCAGAAGAGAAAAATGCCTCTCTCTCTTAGCGTACAGTACAGACAGAGGCTCTCTGGACCACTCCTGGCTGTCTGCAGCCTCCTGTGCCTGGACAGGAACTACTGGAGTTTTATATGGGTGTGCGCAGTCTGTTGTGTTGTGCCAGGGCCAGTCTGCAAAACGGCTTTGCACAAGCTTTCCTTTTTAGTTGTTTTTTCCAGTTGCAGTAATTGGGTTTGGCTAAGTGAACCGTTAAATATTTAAGCTCATGTGTTGAGATCATTGCTGCCTTGGCTTAAGAACCTAAAATTCTCCAAAGTGTTGTTAAGCATACTGCCCCCCCCACAGGAAAAGGCCTGCAGCAGCAAAAGGGAGCTGGCTAAGAGAAAAGTCTAAGAGGGCTGTGCCCTATGGGTGGTCAACGTCAGTTCAGAGCACCGGAGCTGCATTGCTGGTCATTGTCCTGTGTGTGTGGGTGAGTCACGATAAGTGCTGGGCTTACAGAACTCATCTTTACCCCTGTGTTGTAGCTGCCCGAGCTTGCCAAGCCCACAGTGTGCATGCGGGACCGGCAGAGGGTGGAGGAGATCATCCAGCGCTTTCAGAGGGGAGGACACGGCAAAGTCCAGGTGTGTCTTGCAGGCGGGGGAGAGCTTTTGTAAGGACGCTGCAGCAGCAGCAGCAGGTTTGCTCTGAATCGGTGTGCGCTTTACAAAGCCGAGACAACTTACAACTTTCAAACTTTTGGGCAAACTAGTGATGCACGGGAAAACAAAACAGACTTAAGTGCTTGGTTCGGAATTCTGTGCTCTTGAAGCAAGAAAAGGAAATACTCAAATGTTAGCCATCGGAATGATCTGAGCTCCGGAGTGGGGAGGGGGCATGCATCCTCTCTGGAGATGAGCTGGAGTTTCTGTTGAATACTAACGAATTCTGTAACAGCCCACAAGACACAGATCAGTAGCTGTGGTCCTAAAAAAAAGCATCAATGTTGACAGCAGCTTGACAGCCTGCCTTGAAGTCTGTTTGAAATTATTTCCTGCAGAAAGGAGGTCGGCTGTGGGATGAGGGGGCTTCTGCAGGCTCCCCTCCATGTCAACATTGACGTTTTCAATCTAGAATTTGTTTTGCATAGCGGGTTTCACAAAAACCCTCCTTGTCCCTCGTGATGATGGCGTTCCCCTACAGACATGTGCCTTATGAAGGAAGAGCAGTTTGACATGGGGCTGCAGTCGTAGGAGGGGGGCTGGGGGTTAGTCCTGGTTTCCCTCTCTCCCGGAACGGAAAAGCTGCGAGCCGTCGGCACAGCGGGCGTGTGCGTGGACAGGGCCTGAGCGTGCCGCTCTTCTCTTCCAGGTGATTTCCGACTTCGATATGACGCTCACCAGGTTCGCCCACAACGGCAAACGGTGCCCAACGTGCCACAGTGAGTACAGAGCACCTCCCGGTCTGCGATCTCTTCCTGTCGGATATATGCATGCACCATCTGGCACCCTGCCCTTTATTTAAAGGGATTATGCAATTCTTTGCACAAATGGTGGTGGTGGTGGGTTGAAACAGAATGAAATGCACAGCCGTGTTCCTGAGGATTTCCTGGGATAGTTCGGGGAAATGGCTGGACAAGATCCTCAAACCGATACATTTCTAGAAACCGAATAAGCAAGGACGCCCCGTCACTTGTAACCTGCATGTTCCTATGAGACTAGGAAGACCCTTAGTCTTTGCCTGGGGCTTAAACTAACACAGCTGCATGTACTTACATTCATCACATTCCTGAACGCAGGTGTTTGATCTGTAGGTGGTGTGTGGGGTGCCTACAGACTTTAAGAAATATATATTTAAAGATTGAAGGTTCCCAGAGTTCCGTGTGCAGCGGGAAAAGTGAAGCGCGTGTTGGCAGTGGACTAAAATGTGTTGGAGGGGGGCGCTGTGAGAGTGTGAGCGGAGTGTCTCGCGATTTCAAGGTCGACGGACAGTTGCACAAAACTCAAAAGCTTTCAAGCGGTAATAGCGCTCGCCTGAGCACAGGATGAGTCGAGTCAAGTTTCTAGCTGGGACGGCTATGATTGGAAATCCCTGAGTGGTGTCGAACAATTATGCAAGAGCTGCTGAGGGTGGGGGGCGGGGGGGGGGTATTAGTCAGTCGGGGAGCTCTTAGCTCTTGGTGACAGTGACCCCCTGTGGCCTCCCGGGGACTTGCGGGCTCGTGGTGCTGTCGGTAAAGGTCACGCCTCTCCTGCAGTTGGGGCTAAACCTCCTGCAGGGGGCGGGCAGTGGGAACTGCTGGGCAGGTCAGAGGAGGCTGCCCGTCCTTCCTCGTTCTCCCCCATGTGCGGTTGTGGGGTTTGTGAGCTGCGAGCCAAGATTGCAAGCAGACACACAGCTGGCAGTTGCCCTTGTCAGGTGGAAATAATGGTATGTAACAATACTGGATGTATGCAGTTCACCACCTATAGGGAAATGCTTAAGGACTATGGGGCTTAAGATGTATAAGCAAAGGAGAAGAAACCGTTAACTGTCTCTGTTTCTGTGCTCTGCTGCAGACATCGTGGACAACAGCAAGCTGATCAGCGAAGACTGCAAGAAGCAGGTGAGCTGCAGCCGATGAAGGAGCTAGAGGAATCAGTTCAGTTTTTTTATAGCTGCTGTAAGGGAAAGATGGGCTTTCCAGTTTATACTGTAGCAAGACTGTGTTCATGCAGGGTGTCAGGACAGGCTTGGAAAGCTTATTTCCCCACTTGTTGCTGCAGCTGAAGGATCTTCTGAACACCTACTACCCCATTGAGATCGATCCCACGCGCAAAATTGAAGAGAAGTTCCCGTTAATGGTTGAATGGTGAGTCTGGGCAAACACCCATTGATCCTTTCACACAGTATATGTTGTGTTTGGTAACATGCCAGCTACCTGCTTGTGGTTTTTCCCAGTGATTGATTTTGAATTTTTGTTTCTTCAGATATGAATTTTTTCCCCCCATCTAAAACAGTCTTGCTTGTACAGTAAGACTATATATAGTTAAAATAGGAGCATTTCACACTGTGTAATTAGTATTTAATGCTTTAAAAGAGAAGGGAATGCAGCTGAGGCTGAACACTGAGACTTGTTTTCTGTTGTGCAGGTGGACCAAAGCCCACAATCTCCTGACAGAGCAGAAGATTCACAAGGATCAGCTGGCCCAGGTGGTGAAGGAGTCTGATGTAATGCTTAGGTACAGAACATGGTCTGTGTTTGGCTGGTAGATTGTATGGACAGATGAGTATGTGAAGTACAGAGAAATGAAAAGGGGTGGTGAGGGCTTTACGTATGAGGGGAGCATCCATCTTTTTTCATTAATGTGCTTTATAACTCGCTTATGGGAGCTGAGTCCCATTACCCTTGTTTTCTGTATCTGTGAGTTAAGTTTGTCTTTAGCAGGATGTGACTCCTGTGTCATGGGAAATGCACGCGTACTGACACACTTCACAGCTACTGGTCTCTTGGTCCTCACAAGACCACTTTTGGAAGCTCCAGCTGCAGATTATAAAGCCCCTGAAGGGGTTGGCAAAATCTACCCAGATCTGGGTGCCCTGGGCCTGCAGGCAAACTGACATGATTCCGTGACTGAGAACAGAAAGGACTTCATTATGCAATGGTTTTGTGGGTGGGCGCAGAAAGAGCCTGGTCATGTTGCGAACGCTGAGTCACTGTAGAGTATTTGTAAGGATGACTCCCAGCTTTAACCTTCCTGATCTCTTTAGGTATTTTGGGGCGAATACAGTTCCTTAAACTTACAGCGTTTTTTTTTTAATACAGAGACGGCTATAAGGTTTTCTTTGATCAGCTGCATGAGCACAACATCCCACTGCTCATCTTCTCGGCGGGGATCGGGGACGTGCTGGAGGAGATCATCAGGCAAGTGGGGGTCTTCCACCCCAACATCAAGGTCTTCTCCAACTACATGGACTTTGACGAGAACGTGAGTCTCTTTCAGCAGCCGGACTAAGACTCCTACACCCACGTTTCCCTGAAACCTCGGGCCTCATTACAATCACGCTGCTCCTTTGTTCACCCAGCAGCTTGCCTTTGGTGTTCTTTGCTGAGTTAGACGCGTGGACAAGTTAGTGTCTCTTGGGAGCTTCTGCAAAAGTCCTCGCAGTGCAGGATAAGATTACGTCTTTTCTTTTCTTTCCATCCAAGATAATGTCAATCACTTTGGCCTCCAATTCTGACAGATGTATCCTCCTGTGGAGTTGCAGTTAGCAAAGAATATGACCAGGCTTGAACCTGTGATCATATGCGCTTCCCCAAGCACACAAACTGAGCTCTTTTCCACTTGGGAGCTCCTGCAGTGCCTTTTCCTACGGGGGGGGAATGCTCCAAGCTCGACATCGCCAGATTTCGAACTTGTAACTTGGCGCCTTTTCTCTTTTTGTCCAGGGGGTTTTGAAGGCTTTCAAAGGGGAGCTGATCCACACCTACAACAAGAGAGAAGGAGCCCTGCTGAACTCCGGCCACTTCGCGGAGCTGGGGGACAGGCGCAACATCATCCTGCTCGGGGATTCCATGGGGGACCTGACCATGGCGGACGGGGTGCAGAACATGGAAAACATCCTGAAGATCGGCTACCTCAACGACAAGGTGAGCAGAGCAGAGCCAGATGTGGGCTGGGGAAGTTCAAGTAGGGAGCTGCGTCAACATGCGTGGGCTGCAAGGGAATGGTTTATTCCGCGCTGGAAAGGAAAATAGACGCAGTGTTTCAGCTGTGGAGCCTTCTTTGGGTGCCATTCATCCTACCCTTCTTCACACCTGAAGAAAGCTCCACAGCTGAAAACTTGTTTCTTTTCTTCTGTTTTCAGCTTGAAATATACCTGTACTTGTGCCTCAGAGGCAGATGCAGGCTAGGACAAGTGTAATCCTGCCTTTCCACTTCTATCTGAGCCAGCCCAGCCCGTCGAGCTGTAGGCTCTTATGTAAGCCAGCACCAGCTGCTAGGGGCTCGGGTAACGTTGCGAGGAAAAGTGGATTGAAATCATTGGGGTGCCCTCGGAGACTTGAGAGGCGCTTGTGAGCTCTCGGAGAGGCGCAGCGGCTTCTCCAGTCACCGCCAGCTTTCCTGAAGGTCATGCAAGGAGCCGGGGGTGAGAGAGCGACGAGGCGCTGGGCTTGTCGGAGGAGTTCGGTGTGTGAGCTGTGATCAGGTGATCGCCGCAGTGAGCTGTGCTGATGAGCAGTTCCGGATTGGCAGGGTATCAAAGCAGATATTGCTGTGAATGTGAACTCTCAGACACTCACACTCATCGAGCTGCACACTCTTGCAGTGACTGGTGCTCCTGCACGGCCTCGGCAGCATCTTGCACAGGGGAGTAGTGGCCAGGGACTCGGGACTCCTGGCTTTAATTCCCTTCAGTGGGGACACTGCTGCAGCTGCGCCTCAGGGCTGCGTACTGCACCCAGATTGTTCCACCTGAGCAAACCCAACCTCTTCCGCCCCCCCCCCTTCAGGTGGACGAGAGGAAGGAGCAGTACCTGAACTCCTACGACATCGTGCTGGAGAAGGACGAGACGATGGACGTGGTGAATGCCATCCTGCAGCGCATCGTCAAGGCCAATTAATCGAGGGGGAGAAGGCACCGGGCCAGTGGAGGGGGGGTAGGAGGGAGAGGCGCTTGGAGATAGGTGATAGGCCAGGCAGGTCTGACCCTCCTACCTCCTCTCCTCGCTGGGGAGGACATTTCAGTTAGTTTGTAATGGGTTTATAAGGGGCATGGTGACAGGATCCTTTTTTGAGAACCAGTGCTTCAAAACCCTTGTTTTAATTTCCACGTTCTTAAGGAGAAAATGCCGTTGTGGTGTATCCCCCCATCACACCCCGGTGCCTGAGATTTACAAGTTCATTTTTAATTTTTTTTAAAGGATCAAGCCAGTTGTTCTCTTAACCTCCACTGTACACGAGTGTTTTGTTCGTCCCGTTTACAGACGGCAAAGGTAATGGGGAACTCCTTCCTGAGTCACGTTTTTTTTTCCTGAGTTTTTCGTTTTGTTGTGGAGGTTCACTCTAGCGGTTAATCTGGTGTCGTCAAAGCTCAGTGGGTGTCCCTTCGCTTAATCTGTTTGGAGGATGGCATCTTTGTCACGCACGGGCGCTAAATCAGTGATCTGCAGTTCTCCTCCTGGAGGGCCGGTGTACCAGGCCTCTTCCAACGGCCAACACCCGAAGACATGGAGAGAAGTTGCTAGTACTCCCATAATGAGTAAGATCTGAGCTATAAAGAAAATGTATACTGTAGAAACACTGGCCCTCTCCTCCCTGTGCTAAACCTGTATGGAAAGGGGGCTCGCCTCAGACGGTCTCCTAGTGGCTTCATGGTGTGTTTGTTTTGTGCAGATGGAACTGGAGTCTTTTGTGCTGCCCTGCCACGTGTTCAGTTTGCATAAAAGATCTGCATGTAAGGCGTAAACCCGAAGCTTTTTTTATTCGGTTTTTAAAATCTTCATTGTTTTAATGTAGGGCTTATGTCCCTTCAATCTGCTGTGGGAATGATTTTTTTATTATTTTTTTTGCCTACCAAGAGTCTATTTAAAAAACAAGATCATGTAGCTTTTGAGAACCAATAGAAGACTGTGGGTTAGGTTCCCAGGGCTGGGCCTGGAAAACGGATGAAGCATAATTGCCATCATGGGTCAGGTTGGGAGCCCACAGGGACAGAGAGAGAGTTTGCGTGACGTCAGCAGGACCAGCTCGCCCTCCCACAGATTGGCAGCTGTAGTATCACCGGTAACTGACACAAGGTGGCGCTGTGCTCACTTTGTTCACTTCCATCCTTTCTGGTTATAGTGTGCCTGTGGTCCTTGTGCATGCGCAGCTGCTTCTTCTGGGTAAAACGGACTCAGAGTTTTTACTTTTTGAAAAGCTAAGCAGAGTATGCTTGTCTTAAAGACAACTTTCTGTGCCTTTTTAGTTTACAAAAAAAACTTTCCGTTTAGAGAACGGTTCTCGATATCCCTGTATTAATTTTTAAATCCGCTGGAAATCCAGAGGTGTTTATTAGGGTGTTGCAGTATTCCCCATCCTGATCCTGTTGGCTTCCGCACCTGCTGGCTTTTGTTCCGGACGAGCTCTCGGTTAACGTAACCAACTACTTTTGAGTCGAAAAAATGTTTATATCCTAATCAACCAACTTGTTAGTTCCTTCAAGGCTTCAGTTAGATAATTAAGCTCGACTAGAACGCAAACCAGCAGGTGTGTGGTCCTTCAGGACCAGGATTGGAGATCCCTGTGTTAGAGGGTATTTTATTAATTTTAATGTTAACAGCAGCTTATAGTACACTCCCTGCTGTCCGATGCATGATATATGTGCAGCAGATTATAGATAGCAGAGGTGGACAACCTTGGTCCTTAACTGCCATGTTTCTGCTTTTTTCATTCCATCTTGGACCTTAATGACTTAATCAAACCAGTGGACTGGATAAGAAGGCAGCTGTTTTCAAGGTGTTCATCAGGTGCTAATTAAAAAAAGTGCCACTTTTAGCACTGGAGTGTCCAGTCCTGGACCTGGGGAGACCTAGTCTGGTAGGTTTTATGAGTTAAGTCCATTTCTACAGATTGGGAACATGTGGAAATTATTGTTCAGTTAAGCAGGTTTTGTATTCAGTCAGGGCTGAGGTGCACTAAGCCTTTGGTTCTAAAGGATTTCTAATTTTAATAAATCACCTGCTTAACTGATCAGAGCTACATTGTCTTGCCCCTTTAGAAATTGGTTATTTAAAGCCGATCTATCCAGGACCAAAACCTGACAGTCCTGCTCTAACCCAGAGCTCATGGACCCAGGTTATCTACCTCTTCTACGGTGTCATGGCGTTAACATAGCTGGACTCGAGGGAGTGCTGTTCCAATAGCAGAGCTGGTCTTTTTCTGTGGTGTGATGACAAGGGAAAATGCCATGGCGTTAAAACAGTTGCAGCTGTTTTTCTAGTTTTGCACCTCTGGGAGGTGTGTGTTGGGGATGGGTGTAAGTCACTTAACAAGAAGTTGTTAGGAAAAAAAACATTCTCTGTGATCACTGAAAATTTTAAATTTTAAACAATCTGGCAATTATGAAGGTGTTGGGTTTTTTTTTTACAAAAGAAGCATTTTGAAGATTATAATTTAAGTTGTATTCTTGCTGTTGGGACACTTGGCTTAAAGACTTTTAATTTTTGGTAAACAGTCTTTTGTATGGTTCTTCAGTACTAGTTTACCCACAATGGTCTTTTTGTTTCCATTGTTCAGAACTTGGTGCAATACTAGCCAAAGCTGCATTTGTGCCGTAGTGTCCCCGAGGGAACGAACATAAAAATGACTACTGTACTTGTCACTTAACAGTGGATCACTTAACGAACCCCCCACAGTGGATCAGTTTATGTAATAGAACGGTTATTGTTCATTGCGATTTAGATGTGATTGTTGATCAGAGAGACGCTTTGGGTCCAGGAGTGGTCACTCCAGTTATGGTTATTGCTGCAGTGTTTGTGCATCACTTGACTGTAACATCTGTAAATTGCATGAGAAAACATTCTCGCCTTATTTAACATTAAACTTCGTTTTTGAATTCCCCCATGTTGTGAACTGGAGTGCTGTGTTACCAGAGGTTGCGAGTTCATTTCAAGATGAGGCCAACAAGGTCTGAGGATCACACTGGAGATGTCTGCTGGTCAGTTTAATTCTGGTGTTCATCAAACTTATAATAGGTGCATAAGAAGACAAATATCTTGAAAAGACTCTTAATGAACTCCCGCACAGTGTGTTTTACAAGTCTGTCTTATTTTAAAAAACATTTTCAGTTTTAAAAGTAATGAGCTTTAAATGCTAAAACTGTGCGCTTTGCAGAACCAGTGATTATGAAGATGTTTCCCCCTGACACAAGGCTAGCTTCACACATCCATTCTGAAAGCACTTTCACTGCTGGGGAAGCTGGCAGCACCCGTCACTGAATACTCAAAGTGTCTGAGCGATCTTTAATAGGGCTCTTACTGATGAAGGTTTTGGATACTCTACTGACAATGTAAGAGGTTTCAGGTGAGAAGAAAGCATCTTGCTCATTTGGTAACTAATACCTTATTCATTATTAATTTATTATAGTCAAGTGACTACTTTATCACAAGGAATCTTCTTCAACAGCAACCCCCAACCTGCTGTGTATTTAAACCTGTGTCTCTTGAGGTTGGTTTTGTCAAGACTTCTGGCGATCTTAAATGCTTCTGTCAAGAACCCCCTCCCACCATCATCCCCTGTGCTCATACACACGGGCCAATTGCCACCACCCCACGCTTGAACCGGTACGATGCAGAGACACCCCAGAGGAAGGAAACACGGGTCAGGAAGCTGGTAGCTATTATCCAAACAGCCGCTGTTTATTTGGTGATTTGTAGTACATGGCGCGAGCATGCAAAGTACACCTCCCACCGGCTTCACCACTCGGCTTATGGCTTCAAAGAGAGCGAGATCCAGCCACAGTGCCTTCAGCAGCATGGGCAGGTGAACAGCCACCGCCTCCTCTCTGAAAACAGCCCCTGGCAGATACCTTGGCTGTCAAAGCTAAAGCATAGGCTGCCACTGCCTGATCCCAGGCTGCAGCTTGCGGATTTGTATACAGGCTGTAATCGAAAGAATGTGCTTCCACATCTGTCACAGCTGGACTAGCCTACAGTGTAAAAGGCACAGTTGGCATGGAGCTGGGCTGCTGATAAAGGCACTGTCGCGGTGTCCTCACAAGTGCAACCACACCTTTTCAACACAACATCATGCTCTGGACCACAGTCAGTGAGCACCTTTGGCCTGACTTTGTAATTCACACATTTGCATTGAGAGAGAAAAATAAACTCTTATTTTCACAGAGTAAAAAAAAAAAAAAAAGCATTGAAGCAGCTGCCTTTAAGCCCTTTTAAGTTAACTACCTGAAAGACTGCGCACCTTCATTGATATTTTAGCCAGGGGGAAAACGTAAACGCAGTATAGTGGTGTAATGTATAAATATATTCTGAATATGGCCATCCTGCCTTTGAATGGCAGTTCCTGGCAGGGTGATTGCTTTAAAATAACCAGCAATTTCCTAAAGGTTTCTAAGAAAATGGATGCAAATCTGTTTATCATATGCTTTTTCCTTGAATTTGGAGGTATTCCATGAGTTTTGTTTCTTATTTATTTGGAGAAATTCCATGAGTTTTGTTTCTTATTTTCTGCATCGATTTACACTATCAAACTACACCATTTCCTCTAGATTTTAGAAAAGTGTCAGATATTACCTGCTAGGACTTAGGAATTTGGATCAATTAGTAACTATGTAACTGAGCAAGAAACCAGAAGAGCACTCTCACAAACATTCATTTATATATCAGGGCATCATGGTTTCAGATCACAGACCATGTTCATAAGGGGAAACTAGATGCCCAACTGCTATAAACCGAAGAGACCTTTCACAAATGCTTTTTTCACAAAGCTTTCCATCAATGATCTGCAAAGTTACATGGCAGTATTTAGACTTTATAATGCCTAAATACCAAACAGTTAAAGCTCAATAGTGAAAACGCAGGTTAGACTTTAGCATGTAGACATTTCACATACCAGCTGCTTCAAGTGCAAGACAAAGGATGAAAGGTATTTAAACCATTAGAGCCTGCAGGATTGTATTACAAACCAATTGGGAGTTCCGCATCTCCTCTGAAATGCACATAACTTCCACTTCTGCTACTCCAGTTAGTCTTTGGATCTTTCTCAGGAATTAAAATGTAATGTGACACTACTCGATTGTCCCTGAAGACTCCTGTAAGCCACAATACTCTGTAAAATCTGTGGCTGCTTGTCTCTTCTAAAAGAAAATAAATAGTAATGTGTAATAAAGTTAAAAATGTATAGCTTCACTTCTCAGATGAAAATACGAGTGGAAACATTTGTAGTGTGTGAGTTCATTCCACTGGCTGTAAGGCACTGGTGGCGACAGGAGTCTTAATTTCCTGAGCCCTTCTGGGGAAAATCTTGGGCTCAATGCGTGCAATACGGTAATCACCAAACCCTCTGGTTGCCTGGGCATCCAAATAATGATTTCTTTAAAAAAAATCATAGCTTAATTTTGATTTTATTGGCTGGGAGCATCTAGGATATTCTGTTGTTGCCCAAAAACTGAATCCTAGATTTTTACTGAGCCAAGTTTTGGGGGGGAGTCGACTGAATGAACTGCAGCTGTGGCAGCATCATGCTGGCTGGTCACAGTCTGCGTTTCTGGGTACTGAATGGGCAGGTTCTGGGGAGCACCTCCCTCCTTCCCTCCCTATGTGTTTGTGTGTGAGTGTGTGTGTGCGCACGCCCCCCCCCCGGGCCAATCACAGCTCCTCGTGACGCATTTTCTCCGCGTCCTCGTCCACCTTCAGCTTCAGCTCCTCGGCCGTGATCTTGCCATCCTTGTTGCGGTCCTGGTTCCCGAACATGTCCTGGATGACCACGTCGGGGTCCTGGCCGGGCTTCAAGCGACCTTTGCCCTCTGCCTCCTGGGTCTTAATGAAGGTGGAGAACTGGGGAGGGGGGACAGGAAGAAGGAGGAGGTGAGTTAATGCCTGAGAGGGGTGCCAGGAACACCGGGGGGGGCAGATCCGTCTGGCTGATGTACGCGCACGAGATTACCAGGGTGACCCAAGCAGCAGTGGGGTACCGGCTGAGCCTGGTGGCCCAGGTGTTGCAGGTTCGAGCCTGGGTCACCAGTCCCCCAAGCCCTAGGGTTCCCTCAACAGTGGTGTGATATCATCGGGGGGGGTCGGTCACTCGGGGTTCAGGCAGCTCCTCTGCTTGGTGCCAGCAAGGGCACAGAACCCACAAAACTGGTCGTTTACAAATGAGCAATGATGAATTAAGAAAAAAAACGATGTGAACCTTGGAGGCGTGACGTAGGTGTGGGGTTTAGTCCAGACGAGTTCACGTTTAAACAGACAATCCCTAACCCTTAAAATCTGTGCAAAATGGAATAAAATAATACATTTAACCCACTGTGCGCGTTTCACTACAGTGACTCTCGGTGGGCTTCACATAAAAAAAAGCTAAAAGAGAACTAAAAAACTTGCAAAGAAGGGAAATGATAGGGAATTAGACGGCTTATTGCACCGGAAGTTGACAGGGCTGCTGCTGGAGAAGGGATTTAAGATCTGGAGGGGCTCGGTTGAAACTGCACGTCTGACTCAGAGCAGCCAGGACCGGGACAGCATCCAATGCATCTATACCGGGACAGCCAAGTATCAATCGAAAACTATGGTGCTGAACGTTTGTAAACAGTTTTGGATTTTAAAATGCACACGGAGGCCTAGAGGCGCTCTTGATCTCCAGGGAAGCCCAGGCTCGGCGTGGTCCGGCGGCACACTGACCTCCTCCAGGGGCACCTCCTTGTCCTTGTCGAGGTCCAGCGCCTCGAACAGGTTCTCGGGGGGCTCCTCCAGCCACACGAACAGGTAGCCATCGGGCACCCCTTTCTCCAGCTTCAGCAGCTCCAGCTCGAAGCGCAGCACCGCGCTGCCAGGCACCCCGCGGGCTGGGCAGGGAGCAGACAGGCACGTCAGGCCAGGAGACAACAGACAGAGAGTAACAGCCATCCTGGGAGGGTCTCAGGCTGGGAGAAGCTTGCAATGTGATCTGGTTAAGCTACTAAGCAGACTCGGATCATTAAAGCCTGAGTGGAAAATGAAATAGACAGCCCTGTAGAAAATATATATTTTTATATATATAAATATATATTTCATAGAATAATATCTCCCCCCCCCACTACCTAATGATAAGTTATTTTTTCTTCACCCTGCTTTCTCCCCAGCACTATACCCTTGGCCAAAATGCAACAAAACTAGAACTCTGTTCTACGACTTGAGATGAGTGACAACTTCCTAATTTCTGATTAACTTTGTATGTTCATTAAAAAAAAAAAACAATAAAACATGAGTAACAAAAATAAAAATCCCCCCCCCCTCAACCCCACACCTCTCTCATTTATCCTTAAACTAGAGAAACTCAAACAGGCCCGGGGCCCTCCGGTTCAGTCTGGCGCTGGTGGAATTAGCACACCGCTGTCGGGAGGTACGGATCCTCACAGCCTGCGGCAGCCTCGCGGCGGGGGGAGAGGCAGGCGGCACAGTCTTACCTCCTTCCTCCCCGTGGCCGAGGTGTGGGGGCACGACCACCACTCTCCGCTCGCCGACACACATGCCCTGCATGCCCGCGTCCAGCCCGTCGATCACCTTGTTGGCTCCCAGGAAGGCCTCCTGGGGGTGATCGAAGTCGTTCCTACACGGGGGACAGACGCAGACTCATTCCAACATGTGCCAGGCAGGCCTGTGGTACTCTTACAGCAGTCCCGGGTTCGAGTCCCTACTGCACACTGCTCTTGCACAGGACGCATGAGAGGTCTGGACCCATAGGAGATTAAAAGGGCACAATGTGACACAATGGTACCTCTGAGGTGGGCAGGACACTGCGGTCCAGTGGGATGCCCTCCGCCCAGTCCAGACCTACACAACAACCATAGACTTTCCTATGGGTCGGGCATCTGGAATTTGTGGTTTACAGCCAAAAACCAAATGGAATTGCAAAAAGGCTGAGAAAACAGTGAGTGCAAGTATTAGTGTATGAATGTCGACAGTGACCAGTTTGAATGAATTTTCCCTGTGGGTCCAGACTTCCCAATACACCCTGTAGACTGGAGCAAAAGCCCATCGCCCACCTATCTGTATATAAGGGTACCAGCGCTGCCGAGGGTAACCCTGTGATGGACAAGCTGCCCATTTAGTAGCAGAGTCATGTGCTCTTCTATTGTCTCTTCATGCTACAGAAACCAGAACTCACAAGGTTCGCGTTTCCATGGAATCCATGGAAGGAACCAGTTGGAACAAAGCTCATATCTTTCAAACTATACCCCCACCCTTCCAATTTTAAGGCTTTTTGGAGGACGCCCTGGGCTGTCTCTGAGGACCCATGCATAGAGAACCACTGGCCAACGAAGGCCATCAGACAGGGCTGCCCCTGCTGGCCTTGAACACTGTCACACACAAACAGGGAGAGCTTAGGCATCACACTTACACAGCTGATGCAAGATCAAGTGTTGATCTCCGAATTTACTACAGCTCAAGAGACAATATTGCTGATAAGAGGTCACGCGCGATTGAAGCCAGGACACAGAGTTCAGTCCTAACCACAAGACCCCGCCCCCTGGTCGTGCGGCAGGGCCAATCAGGTGGCGCGCTTGGTGCGGGCCGGCCACTCACGAGGAGAACAGGAAGGTGCCGTCCAGCAGGGAGCAGTTGTAGTGGTAGTACACGAGGTCGTTGGAGGCGCTGGTGAGGTTGCAGTCCGGCGGCCTGAAGGTGGTCTCGATCTCCACGACGTCGTTGGGGTTGTGGAAGTCGATGACATGGATGTCGAAGACCAGCACGGCTGAGGCAGGGATACTTTCACCTGGGGTAAGAGAGAGAGAGGCCGAGATGGGAAACCATCACAAGCACCACACCCACTACAGTGCAGGCAGGATAAGGACATTTACAGACTAAAACAGGTCCTCCTGTTCAGGGTCCAAGATGAGATCTTCATCGTGTGCACCACTGAAAACCCATCCTGTTTAGCTCGTCATGACTGGAAAAGGGGCTGGTGTATGTGACTCAACCTTGCCAACAAGTCACCCTAAAGTTTTCCTTGTTTCTGTATGGAGTCTGCATGGTGCCTCCATGTTATGCTGAATTCTGCAGTTTCCTTCCACGTTCCAAAGACATGCGGTCTAGGTCAATCGGTGACTCTGTATGAGAGTGTGCCTGTGGGCCTGACAGAGACTCCAATTGCTGTTTTATTCTTTTTATTCTTTCAGTGTGTGAGCTCACCCTTTCATTTTGCTGTGTTCTGCAAAACTAAACATGTTATAAAAAGTCGATTCCAAGCCCACCCTAGACGCTGACCTGCTCCGTTCTCTCCGTAGGCCAGGTGTGGAGGCAAGGTGACCCGTCTCCGCTCCCCGATACACACTCCCTGCAGGGCCTTGTCCATTCCAGCGATCACGTAGCCCATCCCGATGTACGTGTTGTAGGTGTGATTCCGGGTGTAGCTGCAACAAGAGGGGGAAAAAATCTTCACTGTGGGTCCTGTTGCAACTCGTGTGAAATCGCTCTAGATGCCAGCCACTTTATTTTTTTAGATTGCTCGAGATCATTAGCGATCTTTGGAGATCACTGGCAATCGCGGCCATTGCTTGAGATCTTTTGAGATCAACCGAGATCGTTCGAGATGTTTGGCGATCATGCGAGATCATCGGCCATCCTTTGCGACCTTTTGAGATCATTTGAGATCTTGGCTGATAGTTCAAGATCCTCATCATGAGGACAACCATCAGAACAGGTGGATTGATTTCAAGAACCAGCTACTGATGATCTGGTTCTGATATTGCAGTGCACGAACTGGACAGCACGCCTCTGGAGAGCTGTTTCCAGGGGGCTGATCCTTACGGAGGGGACTGGCCCGTGCGTGGAGCGCTGTGCCCTGGGACCCACCTGGAGTCGAAGGGCGTGCCGTCCAGCAGCGTCCCGTTGTAGTGGTAGCGGACGAAGTCGCCCGCCACCGACTTGCGCTTGCAGGACTCGGGGATCTGTTGGTATTCCACCACGACGTCGTCCTTGGGGTTGTGCAGGTCCACCAGCAGCACGTCAAACATCAAGCTGGCCTGGGGTGGGATATCCGAGCCTGGCGGGGGGCAAAAAGGTCAGCCTTTCAGCGGGCAGCCAGGTGACAGGCCCTTTCTTACCAACGCAACAGACCCTGCCCAGGTTTCTCATGAGGTGGACCACATAGCACAACAAGGCCGAGAGGCTAAATCTAGAATCGTTTTGCATCTCCAGTTTGTGCCTGGGGGTTTAACCCAGTCGAATTATCCATTATACATGTATATGTATTATACCTCTTCTCTGGTCTATTCATGCAAGTATATCAGGTCTTTGACTGGCTTCTTCTGTGTCTAAAAGCGGCTATTGAATAAACTGATACCAGTGTTCTATACCTCAAATGCAGGGCATAGGAAAAGGCTCGTGGCTCCGGCTGTTCGGAAGTCCCTGCGTTCTTACCGTATCCCTTCTCTCCGTAGGCCAGGAAGGGAGGGATGATGATGTTCCTCTTCTCGCCCACGCACATCCCCAGCAGCCCCTCGTCCATGCCCTTGATGAGCCAGCCTTCCCCCACATAGGTGTCGTAGGTCTGCTTCCGGCTGTAACTGCAGGGCACAAGGGTCACTGCACTGACACACTGCTCCTCTAGCCCAGAGGAGATAAACCCCATTGTCACAAGGTCTCCCCCCCCGGTTTCCTCCCACAGTTCAAAGACATACAGGACGGTTCACTGGCTAGTGGGAAACCTGACCCTGGCGTGTGTGTGTTTGTGTCTGTGTGCGTCCTGGAATAAACTAGCGTCCCATCCAGGGTGTAGCCTGCCTTGCACCCCTGGCCTGCCTGAATCGGCTCTGGCTCCTCTGTAACCCTGTACTGGATAAAGCAGTTAGAAAGGGGACTGGTGGATGCCGACGGCGGTCTGGGAAAAGGCAACGACAAACAAGAGAATCAAGCCCCAGCCCAGATGTTTCGTGTCCCTGCCGTGCAGATGTGCGCCAGCTGCGCTACCTGGAGTCGAAGGGCGTGCCGTCCAGCAGGGTGCCGTTGTAGTGGTAGCGGATGAAGTCGGACTTCTGCACGGTGCGCTTGCAGTCCTGCGGCTTGTCCAGCGTGCGCGTCTGCACCTTGTCGTCCGGGTTCCAGATATCCAGGAGGAGCACGTCGAAGACCAGCGTGGTGTCTGGGGGAATGACGTTACCTGCCAGCAAGACAGACCGCAGAACTCTGAGAGGCCCGGCAGGCCAGGTGTCCTGCACTCGTTATCACTGGTCACTGGGCTTCCCCACTGCTGCCACACTAAATTGAATTAAAGGCTAAATTGAAATTTCACTATATTTCTCAAGCTAGATTATAGCCTGATCATGGCTGTGGCTTTGGCAATGATTATAATAATAATAATTGCTCACACTTATATAGCGCTTTTCTGGACACTCCACTCAAAGAGCTTTACAGGTAATGGGGATCCCCTCCACCACCACCACTGCGACGGCAGCCATAGTGCGCCAGTACACTCACCATATACCAGCTCTCAGTGGGGAGGACAGCAGAGTGATGAAGCCAGTTCATAGATGGGGATTATTAGGAGGCCATTGGTATAGGCCAGGGGGACATTTGGCCACGGCACCAGTGTAACACCCCTATTCTTTTCAAGAAACACCCTGGGATTTTTAATGACCACAGAGAGTCAGGACTTACATCTCATCCGAAGGACGGGACCTTTTTATCGTGTCCCTGTCACTACACTGGGGCATTGGGACCCACACGGACCGCAGGGTGAGCGCCCTCTGCTGGCCCCACTAACATCTCTTCCAGCAGCAGCCTTAGTTTTTCCCAGGAGACTCCCATCCAGGTACTGGCCAGGCTCACGCCTGCTGAGCTTCAGTGGGCTGCCAGCTGGGAGCTGCAGGGTGATACAGCTGCTGAACAGGACAGACAGCTGTAAAGCTCAGTGGGTGGGGGGGTGGTGTATAAATTCATTGAGCGGGTGTGGAAGGGGCTTGGCTCGGGCGGCCTCTGCCTCAGTCCCAGCGGCATGGCCAGCACCCGGTTTCCCAGCTGCGGCGTGGCGAGGCCTGGAGAGGATATTTAGCAACAAAAGGAGCAGAAAGGAAAGGGAGGGAGACAGAGCCGTGCCCATACCAGCGCCCAAGCTCCCGTAAGCCAGGTGAGGGGGCACCGTGATCTTCCTCCTCTCGGTGATGCACATCCCCTGGATGCCCCGGTCCATCCCCGTGATCAGCCTCCCGAGCCCGACCAGCCCGCTGAACGGCAGGCCGCGGTCGTGGCTGCGACCCCCGAGAGGAAACGGAGAAAAAAGAAAAACGCAGGCGGGCCAGTCAGTCTGCGCTCCGACGGACAGGCCGGAGCTCTTAAATGAAAAGACAGGCCGCTTTGTGCAGCGGCGGCTGAAGTAGCGGGTGACGTGTTCGCTTTCATTGTCAGTATATAAACCCGAAAAAAGTACGTACCGGTACGCTCTTCCGGTATTAAGCGACATTACAGCGCCACCTACTGTCACCAGTTGGTCTTACACGCAACCAAATCCCTGGAAAGGTGATTAAGCCGAGCCGGTGACGTTTGGACTGAGTGCCTTCATTATCGCCACACAGCAGTGAAGCCTTTTTTTAATCAGATAAATGAAGTAATAATTAAAAAAAAATAAAAAACACCGGTGGATTTGGGAGCGTTTTTCACGATAGACGTGCTTGAACGCCAGGATACGGTTAATCCTGCGTTGAAAAAGTGTGACATCGCAGGACCCTGAGAGACTGTAACGCAATACTTTAATTACTAACCTACAAGACTGCGTCGAGCCCATTCGAAATCACACACACTTCAAGGCCGTAAAACCCGCGTGCATAGAGCGGCCTTTCTCAGAGTAAACACGCCCCGAGCGACACAGACTAATCTGGGCTGAGGCTTGCGGTTTAAACCTGGAATTTACCGACACCGCCAGCCCTGTCTCCACGATACTGGAGTCGCAATTCGCTGCAACGCCGGTCTCCACTTTGATAACGCAGGAAAGCGGGGCACCTTTAATTCTTATTTGTTAAGGGACAGAACGCACTTTATTGGCCTAAATGTATTCTTCCTCTTATTCAACTAACCTTATTGGCCTAAATGTATGCTTCCTCTTGTTCAACTACTATTCTAGATCACTAAACTGATTTCAATAAAGCTTTTTCACAAACGTCGTGATTCTGATATTGCATTTTAGATTCTAGATCGTAACCCAGCGGTGTGCGAGTGATTCATCACCAACGTTGCACGTTTCAGAAGTCTTTTTAGGCATAAAGGGGAAAGAAAGTTGGGAATGTTCTTTGTCTTAGGGTAAAGGCAACTCTATGGAGGTTTTTTTTATCCTTTAAAGTAGACTTTGCTGTGCAAGTAAGACGCTTCCGCACTCTCATCTGGTGGAGAGGTTTCAGAGGCATCCCTGACACGTCTGCAGACGCCCGGGGAAGAGCAGCTCGGGGGGGGGGCTACGCTAATTAGACGTTGCAAGGAGGTCGCGTTCTGTAGACGCTGGTCTGCCCTGCACCCAGCCCAGGTGACGCCCGCGAGGCGCAAGCGGGGCTCTGGGGGTGGGGTGGGGGTCCGGCACCGAGGCTCCCGCGGGGGGTCTCACCTGGAGTCGAACTTCTTGCCGTCCGGGAAGGTGCCGTTGTAGTGGTACCGCACGTGATCCCCCGTCTGCACCTCGCGGGGACAGACCTTGGGGACGAAGTAGCGGTCGATCACCACGTCCTCCAGCGGGCCGGGGTCCCCCCACACGCCGGCTCCCACCGCGCTCAGGAAAAGCAGCACCAGCGTCGACTCCATCTTGACTCCCGGCTGCGATGGCGATGCTCCTTTTGGTTGGTTTGGTGTGTTTTTTTTTTGGCCTTCCCCCCCCCGCTTCTGCTTCCCTAAGATGTCGAAATATTAAAGGGCTCCCCTCAAAACCGAAGTGCAAACTGTTGCAAAAAAGAACAAATCGTGCGGGACCCCTCTGTAGAGCTTCCACGTCCCTTCGAAGCTCAGGAGAAGTGCTGCGGTTTCTCATTCATCCCAGGGAAGGGGGAGGCGAGGGGGGCCGAGGGGGGAGTTGAGCACTTTTTTTAGGAATTCTGCAAACGTGTAAACTGGCCTTCGGCTACAAATTTTAGCTGTCTTGGATTTTGGGGGGCGGATCTGTTTTTCTCACACAACCTCCAACGTTTGCCCGTTGTTTGGGATCTTACGCGCGGGGGGGGGGAACTTAATTATTTTTTTCGTCAAAGTGATCTGTTTGTTGTCTTTTCCTGGTGCAAATAAAAAGGGGGCAAATATACTGGCGAGTTAAAGAACGCACATCTGGCTCGGCGCTGAAGGTCCTTCAGGCTTCCAAAATTTTGGGAACACGTCTCAAGGTCCTAAACACCCGCGGGTAAAAGCCAGCGCTGTGTCTGTGAGTTCAAAACGTGTAACAAAGGATGTCGGTTAATCGGGCAAGAGGGTCAAAATGTCTTTTAGCGGTAATAAAAGAGCAAGAGATATCATGGAGACATTGTGCTTATGGAGAAGTAATTCAACAAGGCTGTAGGTTAGAGTCCATTCGTTTTCTTAACCCCTTCTTCCAGCTGGGGGGGTCACAGAGCCCATCCCGTTAAACACTGGGCACAAGGCAGAACACACCCTGGTCAGGACGCCAGTCTGTAGCTGGGCAGCCAGTCACACACTCACACCAGGGCCAGTTTTCCCACCATTTCTCCCAGAAAGCCAACAAACCTGACAGTATGTCTTTTTTT